AATTGGATCTCCTGAAAATTCACCTGCCCCAGGCTTATTTCACCTAAAGATTATCAGTAATAACCCCATCAGAAGGGGGGGGGGGAGGGTTAGGTTAGGTTAGGTTAGGTTAGGTTAGGTTAGGTTAGGTTAGGTTAGGTTTGGTTTGGTTTGCATTAGGGTGGTCAGTTAGGTTTGGTTAGTGTTAGGTTTGTCGTGTATTGTATTAGAATGGTTAATCTTCAAGTAGAACAAGTTGGGGGAGGCAATCTTCAGGTGATCTGTTAAATCTGTGCATAACTGTATTTAGCAAATCAATGAACCCTTTTCCTGAGTGACACCGACTGACTGACTGAAAGAACTTTTTGCTCCAACTTAGCCCTTCCCCAGCACCCTTCCTCCACCCAGAGGTAGGATGTACACTTGTACAGTGTCCAGTAGACCTAAATAGCTGATAATAAATTTTTGGCTATCCAATTGTTAACTTAAACTTTGGAAATAGTGGAGACAATTTTTGCATGGAATCATTTGGAATTAATAGACTTTATTTTTTATAGTAATACTATGGAAGTAAATATTCTTAGTTTGTGTAGGTACTTTTATAGTCAACTTGATTTTTGTATGATATTATTTCAGGAGTAATGTGCATTCTTTCTTCTTTTTTTTTACAAAAACTGATTATCAAATAAATACACTGTAGTGGTTGTAGCAAAGAAATCATTTTGTGAGATGGTATGTAATAAAGCCTGCCTGACACCTGAGATATATGACCTAAGACCTGGTAGTGAGGACAAAAGAGAACTATAGTGTTTTGGTCCTGTGTTAGTCATGGCCAATTCACAGCACCTTCAGGAGTCATATCAGGGGTTCAGACTGACACAATACTGATTTTAGAACCTTTTGTGTTGAAGTGTGAATAAGGAAGGTGTTCATGACGTTACAATTGGTCTTAAAATTAGTGACATGCTAACTGAATTTACTTTAAATACGTAGGTGGTGAGGAGATATGTATTTCCCCGGTCCACCTAAAAATTTTTACACGTTTAAGTTAAGGGATTCGGAATTAGCATGAAATTGATTTTTAGATGCATAAACTCACTATAAATGTCTTCTTTACTTACTCAAAATAATTTGGAACCCTTGATAATGACTTTCAGGAAACACGACTAACAAGTCCATGTTGTTTTCCAGGGGCTTGACGTGGTAAGAATGTGAATTTCATGCATGTTGTAAATTGTCTGGAGAAAGCCAAACCATTACTGTTGTTGACCAACACAAAAGAGTTGGCAATAAACCCTTCAATACAGGGAGTAGTAAAGTCCTGGGTGTGCCTTACTGTGAGAAGTGTTGCGAGCATGTTGTGGTGACCTGGTGTTGATCTGCCATAGGTCTTGCCATTGTCTCAGTAACATCCCTCTTACGGGCTAAAACTGATGAAATAATTCCAACAAACAATTAATAGCCAACTTATCCAGATGAAGACATTTGTGTGTTGCAGCATGGCAGCAATACACCTTTCTTACCAAAATTACTAAAATGCCATAGTAGTGGGATAAAGGTACACAACAGTGCTGCACCACCACAGTAAATGTCGGTGCAAGTAATGGCAGACTTGCATCAGCAGTGCTCATGAGGGTCACCTCAGCTGCATCAGACAGCAAAGTGAACGCTCCTCACACACCACACAGGTGATACATGTCCATACTCATGCCCAAGACAAGAGTCCTGGAATTTATCACCCTGTCAGCACCATATTGTTCAATTTCAAAATTTTTTGGTGTTATCTTAGGCACATATGAAGGTTTATTATCTGCCCACATTACTTACACTTTTCAGCTTTACAGCAGTGTCGCTGTGTACTAGGCGCCACCCTGGACCATCAGACTGTTGACCCAGTAGTTTAGTTCGGACTTATTCGTTAATGGTCGCTCAATATTTTTACACTTGATATGCTGTAGTCTCACGTTCAAGTATCAAGAACAATAGTGAGTATAAGTCATGGAAAGAAGCACAAAAGCCTTAATTTGTTGTTAACTTGTATCAATGGTGAAACTATGAAATGTGACCCATTAATAGGAAGTTGCCACAACATAACCAACCTCTTACTTGAAGGTTAAGGCGAGGATGAATAATTTTCCTGATTATTTGATCATAGTTGTAGATTGTTCAATGTCTTAATGTTTAAGAACTTGTTCAATAATGGCTTATGCATAGTTGTAGGTTATCATGGCAGAGAGCAGCCAGTCCCCCCACGAGGGCTGGGGGCCTCCCTTGCCACACATGCTCATCTAGACAACAGCACCTCATTACTCACTGAAGCTTCAAAGTTTATTTTTTCTGTAAACAACTTATTTTCAGTCTTCGATCATACCATCCACTGTTTATAGTTTATAGAACAATCATGTTAACATTTACTACAATATGTTGACAATACTGGGTCAGAATTCATGTTAACATTTACTACAATATGTTGACAATACTGGGTCAGAATTCATGTTAACATTTACTACAATATGTTGACAATACTGGGTCAGAATTCATGTTAACATTTACTACAATATGTTGACAATACTGGGTCAGAATTCATGTTAACATTTACTACAATATGTTGACAATACTGGGTCAGAATTCATGTTAACATTTACTACAATATGTTGACAATACTGGGTCAGAATTCATGTTAACATTTACTACAATATGTTGACAATACTGGGTCAGAATTCATGTTAACATTGACCTCTAATTGGTGATAAAATAAAGTACCAGTGTAGGTAGACACTCAGTATAATTTGGAACCCATTTTGAACATTATTTGTATGCTCTTTCTTATGTCTGCTTATTTGAAACCTTGCTTTATCTCCATTTATGAGAAACAATTTAATGTACAAAGCCTAAAGCTTTGAGAATCCTTGCCCTGGCTGGGTTTGGAAGATCAAGATTCTGTTATTATGGCTCCTTCACTAATGGAGTCAGGGAACATGTGCGCGTCAACTTGAGTGCTAGAGCCTTATCACTAAACTCGTGAAGTAAGATCACAAATATACGTAGAGGTGGATGTTCCCATATAAGCTTTGGGAATACAGAACTGGAATTGATACCATGGTGGGCTGCTCATAATAGTAATTTAGTTGTGTTATTACTTGTTTCCTGTAATGCACTTGTTGACCATATACTGTACATGTTGCTGTGTTGTATTATATTTAGGATATGTATACTTTTTGAATAAGTGTTATGCACTATTTACTCATTCATGTAGATAAATCACTTTATTGTTCTTGAGCGCTACGTACATAACTTAGAAATTCAGATAAAGTTTATAAATGTACGGTACTGTACAGTATTTTCACTATACAGTATTTATCTTGTTTATTAGAGTTAGGTCCAGCTAAACATTGAAAATTTTGGGACCACAGGAAGATTAAGCATCTCAGCTTATTTCATCTGATGTTTAAACACTAACACTAACTTAACCTAACCTACTGTAGTAAAATATGCTGGGAAGACTAATCTTCAGTTATCTTCAATTGATACAAAATTTTTATATCCCAACAAGAAATAGTATCCTACTTTCATCTGATAATTGTTTCATTGGGTCATCTTATATTTATAATGTGGACCACACTCCTCAACCAATATAATACATATTGTAACCTCAGATTAATATCCCAATAAGGGTAAGAAGATGGACTCCTCACCTATGACACTGTTTGGCTACTTCAACGAGCGAGTGAGGGCCAACCTGCACTTGGTAGTGGCCATGTCCCCCATAGGTGACACCTTCAGGACCAGGCTCAGGATGTTCCCCTCCCTCATTAACTGCTGCACTATAGACTGGTAGGTCCTGGTGGGTCTACTGCTTCATGTGTTAGAAGATGTCGTGTTGCCAGGTGTCCCTCACTTGTGTATTGTCAGGTGTCCCTGGTAGCGTAGTGTGTAATGTTGTGGTAGTGTAGTGTATAATATTGTTGTGGTACAATAATGGTTTCTTCTTATAGGATTTTAGAAAGTTAATAAAAAAAAATTTACAGGTTTTTACTTTCAGTGCTATGTGAGAGCTCATTGATATTATCTATAGTGCTAATCCTTTTTATGCAGGGCTTTATAATAATAGTAATACAGTAACAATAAGATTAGTAAGAATTATAATGATAATGTACAGTAATACTGTCATAATAATGCTAATAATAATAATGATAATAATTTCATTAATAACAATACTGTAATAATAATTGGCAATGTGTTTCCAAAGAAAATTTTGCCTTCTTAAAGGGAAAATTTTTACCCCCCAAAATATAATACAGTACTACTATATGTATCAAGTAAATATGCACTAAAATAGTATAATAAATACCTGCTTCTCAAATAAAATCATAAATAGAAATAATACTGTAGTACAGTTACCAGCAAGAAACATAATGCTTGTCATGTAATTTCACATCAGATTAATTGCCTTCCTGTTTCTCTTAATGCCACTGCTGCCTCTAGCACTTAATGTCCTCTGGCCAAGCTTAGGAAAACAATGGAAACACATATACAAAAAACATACACAAAAAACACAAACAAATGCCAGGTTGCAGAATGAAATGTACAGTCCTCCAAAAAAAAGGTATTGTTAACCATGGGGTCGATGTGTTTCGAGGACACGTCGCTACCTGGCATTTAATTGCAATTCTCAAAACCCCCTCCCACACCCTCCATCACACGCATTGCTACCGTCGTCGTCTTGCCTGGCGAATCGGGTGTAAATACGCACAATGAAAGCACCGCTAAAATTTTTGTTGTAATAGCTGAAATACTAAGTGCCACGAGGATTTTATATAGGGTATTTATACATCTTAGCACGGTGAGGAAATCGAGTGACTTTTATTTTGTTTCTCTCTCAGATATTGTGTTTGGGACAATTTTTTATACGTTCTGGTCAGTATGGCAACCACAGCTCGTTTTCTATTAGGAAGACAGTAGATCGTTAGTGACTAATATCCTCTGTTTTTGAGTTCCATAACTTCAAAACTCTGTAGAATGCAGTTCTGTTAAATGGCAAATGCCAGTATAATTCTGTAGAGTCACAAGATTATGACCTTTTCTTGTTCAGGTTTACTGCATGGCCTGATGATGCCTTGGAGATGGTGGCCACATCACTGCTGCAGGAAACTAAACTGGAGGCATCATTGTTGGCTCACTGTGTCACTGTCTGCAAGTATTTCCACCACAGCATTGATGACCTTGCCCACAGGTAGTTTCAAGGACATCCACACCTTGCTTATGTTATCATTTTCAGTTTAACTACCAAGGGTCAAAGACTGCTTCGTGTGGATTTCATTTTAGCATTTATCCAGTTGTTTCTCAAGTAGGCAAACCTGAGCAATCTATAGACTGATGTCTGTCTTTTTATACTAGAAATTTGTTTTTAATTATGTAAATACAGTTTACCACAGTCAGAAAACTCTCTTCAATAAAACATCCATGTTTGATTGTTTGTGTTTTAACTTCTGACTGGCCAATGATGATCATGTAGAAAATAATAGTACTGCACAGGCATAGGACCACTTATCTGGCATGCTTGGGAGCTGGGAATGGAGGTGCTGGGATTGGGCAAGTGTGATCGACGTGACCTCTGCATCTTGAGACGCGATTGGTACTAAGGCATTGTGGGTGGTAGCATGTGAAGTTCGCATGTCACCACATGAGACAGGAGAGTTTATCCCATTATTCTGAGTTAGTTTAGTGCATTTTATATTCAAATAGGCCCACTAAATGTCAAAATTTCATATGAGGTGACCTGAAGCTCTAAAGATGCACACCATATGACTTGACTTGAAGCCCAGGGGTTCAAGACATTAATTAACCCATGAGAACCTGGTGGGCTTCCAAGACCTCATTAAAACCATAAGACATACTGTACATGAGACGTTGGTAGCCCTCCAATACCTTAATTAACCAGACATACATGAGACCTTGATGAGTGCTCCTACAGGTTCTATGAGCAGCTGCGGCGGAGGTACTATGTGACATTGTGACACCCACCTCCTACCTGGAGCTCGTGTTCACCTTCAAGCAGCTCCTCCTTAAGAAGCGCTCAGAGATCCTCACACTACGGGACAGGTAAAGCTCAGGAAGCTCATCACCAGCTTTAGTAATGTTATACTGTACATCTATTGATGAATTTTAGTCGATGAGAATTCCCGACCCAACTTCGATTTTGTTTTTATTTTACTTGTGAAAATCAATAATATTGTGCCCAAGTTATTTTAAATGTATGAATATGCATTCTTAGTGCCAAAAACATTAACCATTTCATCTCTGAAGGTATGTGACAGGTCTGGAGAAACTGAAAGAGGCCAAGCTGTTGATCACTGAACTGCAAGAAGAGCTAAAGCTGCTGCAGCCCCGCCTAGTGGAGACCTCTGCCAACACGGAGGCACTTATGATCAAGATCGAACAAGACACCATCCAAGTGGAGAGGAAACAAGAGGTGTGAAGCTGTTATCTTTCACTTGTCAAACTTACCTGTTAATACTATTAATAATTCTATAACAAAAAGATGTATCTCTAACTCTGTAATAGATGGTACAGTGTGTATGTTGAAGTGCAGAAATGTACTACAGATAATACTCAACCAGGTGCCATAACTACACTACATGTGTGAGTTTGGTTGTGTAGAAAATATGTCGAAGCGAGTTAATTGTTTTTAATGAAATTAGATAGATTGGTTGGTTTAGACAACTAACTTCTTTAAATTAAGAGAAAATATATAAGAAATCAAGTTCAAAGAGCCCTTTATATTTCATGCACTAAAATACATAAAAAATTTATGTGGTTATTGATCATTCAATCTACCTAGCAAATTTAACAGATGTGAAATATATTGTCTTTGACTGTGAACTGTAAGTGTGACCTTGACCTGCTTTCTCCAAAATTAGACTAGATTTCTCTTAATCAACAGCAACCTATAGTCCCAAGTTTTCATTAACTCTAATAAAGAGTTGTGTAGACAACAGACACATACAGTGGAATGTGACTGTGACCATGGCTTTGAATATATTTACCCCAGCTTTCAATTACCGTACCTCTTCCTTTGCCTACACTCAACCCTTGACGATCATTTGGTGAAGAGGATAAAAGAAAAGGAAAAGTAACAGAGACGTGACCGATCGCCCAAGCACCTAACGAGCCAATCAGTGGTGAAGAGGATAAAAAAAAAAAGACTGTTTCACTAGAGTTCACCAGTCTATTCTTTAGCTTTACTTGCCCAAATTTATTTATTTTCTCTGAGGTAAATAACCTTTTAGCCTGCCAGGTTTCATCGAAGCTACCCTTCCCATTCTTTTATATATTTTGTTCATAGATACAAACACAAGTATAATTCCCCAAACCCAGAAGAACAAACATAAGTGAAACATGGAAGGTTGTTGAAGATACCACAATGAAACCAATGTTGTAGTCACAATTCAGTCAGTGTTTTGTGATCTTGATGTAAAATATTGTCATTGGCAAGGTTCTTGTTACTATCATGAACACCTTGCTAGTTATTGCTGTTTTTGTGTTCGTGTTTTATGTTCCCTTCTAATGTTAACCCTGCCTCTCTTGGTAAAAAAAAAAGATGAAAGTGATAACATATCTCATTTCTTGGTTGTTGATAACAAATTTGTTCTCAGTTGGTGGCGGCAGACGAGGCGGTGGCCAATAAGAAGTTTGCCGATGCACAGGCCATAAAAGACGACTGTGAAAAGGAGCTCGCCAAGGCAGTACCAGCTCTCAATGCTGCCACAGACGCCCTCAACACCCTCAAACAAGATGACATACGCGTCGTCAAGGCCATGAAGAACCCGCCCTCAGGAGTCAAGCTGGTGAGTATAACCTACCAAATGATGACATTGGTTATGAAGAGTGCTCACCTTAACCTCCACTCTGACTCTACCTAAGTCTCCACTGTTGTTTTACCTAATCTTCCACTCTGACTCTACTGTCCCCAAACCTTCACTTTGCCTTAATATCCTCTAGCTGTTGACCTTAAGTCACTTTGTGCTCCTAACACACCCTGTGATCCTCACACCCTCCTAAAGATATATGAAAAGTTTTGTCCCTGTGTTGTTTTTTGTATTTCTAATCATTAGTGAAACTTTTTGAGAAATACTACATCAGTTGACGCACTCTGCATTAGAAGGGGGTGAAGCTCCAAATTCAAAAAGCTGAGAAAAACACGTTGAAAGTTTTCAAGGTTCAAACAACCATAACTTTTTTTTTAAGCTAGAGGGTTCTTTTTTTTTATCGTGCAGCTTAATCCCTCTCCTAGCGAACTGTGACAACTGGAAATTAGTACAGTGAATAGTTATTAATTTATTGCGAGTTGAATGAAAATAACCCGTGATGTAGAGTTGTTTGATCTTCAAACCAACAATAATCGCATTTTTCTGCAATTTTTTTTTATTAATATTTGTGGGTTAATACTGTAAAACAAGTTAATGATAACCAAAAACAGCACTCGTTTTACCACCCCCCCCCCCCAAAAATAATAATAAAAACTCATTTGCCTATTAGTATTTATCTTTCCGTCCCTATTATTAGCCAAAGATTTATAATATTGTTAAGTTTAATAGTGTGTAATAATGAGGAAACACCACTACACTCATCCCACCCCCTACCATGAACCCCCCCCCAACGTAATTAACAGACGAATACAAAGGCTTAGAAAGTTTGCATATTCTTTGGTTAAGAGAGTATTCTGATAATAGTATTACAATCTTACTTTGTTTAGTTCCTTCGTTTTATTATCCCTGAATATCGTAGTAACTTGAAGTTACGTAAATCCTGAGGAGTGCGTTTAACTTAAATGGCCTCTTCATAATCAATCATGTACTGATCAAAGTCTTTTTCTGCCCTCTCTAAAAATCGCCACACAGATTCTTCATGAACTAGATCATTGATTTTTGATGCCGGCAACAGTTTAGTTTCATTATAAGATTGAGTTATGGGCTCACTTTCATTCGCATTCGTTGGTTCAGGCACACTTTCATCACTATCAAGGTCAATGCATGCCTCGTCACTGTCCATTTCTACCTCCTCACAGTCTGTATGTTCTTGTTGTGATACATTAGTGTCACTCTGTTACCATTAGACTCACTTTCATCATTTTCATCTTCACTTTCATCATCATTATTGCTGTCAGTGCATGTCACGTAACTCTGTACCGGAACATAGTCTGCAAAAAGGTCTTGTGATGCATAGCAGTCACTTTTTGTATGATGAGTACAGTGAGTTCTGCTATAACGCGTGTTTTGACAACGCGAATTTGCTCGAACGCGATTTATGAATTGAGGAACGATATTTGTAAAACGCGAACTAGTTTGCTCTAACGCGATTCCACTTGAACGGTTGTTGTGGCTTCAGTTCACGTTCGACATCACATGTTCAATTGAGTTATGTGTTTTGTTTGTGAACAATTGCAGAAATAATGTATGTAATATTTGTGTATACAGTATACCTATATATTATAAGTAAATTGTAAAATTTTACATAAAAGAGAAAATCAATTTACATAGCGTTTTACACCCGCGCTCTCTCTACATCACACACAGTGTTTACAGTTCACGTTCGACATCACATATTCAATTGATTTATGTGTTTTGTTTGTGAAGAATTGCAGAAATAATTTATGTAATATTTATGTATACAGTAAACCACTCACAAGGTCCTACAGTACCACTAATTATTTTATACTGAAACTTACGTTTGGTAAGCTGGATTAAAATGAAGATTACCGGTATATTAAAATAATAAAAATGTATTATAAACCAGTCTAACATACCGTAATAAACACAGCTGCTATTATCATCCCCCCCTCCCCCATTTGCCAGTGACAAGAAAGGGAAAGTGACCTTGACTGTGACCGCCTGTGGCTATTTTTAGCCGTCCTTGTGTTCGGAGGTGGTCAGTAATGCATATCTGTATATTTACTGATCATAATACTTATCTCTTATAAATAATTCATTTAAAATTTATTTTTTTGCAAAGAATATTCAGTAAATGACTGCATTAATTCTTGAAACTACCTACAGTGGTAAATTTAGGATATAAATAATGAACAGAAGTCACGTCATGGATTCGGAGTTTGGTCCTTAACGATCACCATAAATGTAGCCTCCCTTTTTCGCGAAACACGTATATAAATTAAAGAAAATACTTGCAGTATATTTAATATATTACAGTATATTATATATAAATAAATAAACAAATAAATTCAAATTCCCTTATCATCCTGTGTCATATACAGAAATACTTGAGTCCCTGAGCGAGTACACAAAAAGAAAACGGAGGACTAAGACATCCTGAAGTGGGTAGAGAACGACATCTCTACTGGGGGACTCAAACGTTTCTCATGTTTTGTGGGCGCTCTAGCATAATATGAATATGTAAATTACAATTTACATATATATATATATATATATATATATATATATATATATATATATATATATATATATATATATATATATATATATATATATATGTAAATTGTAAAAATTTAAATAAAAGATAAAAACTAAATACGTAGCGTTTAAAGTGTTAAAGTGTACTGTACAGTGTTGTGGCTTGGCTCAATGTTTACAGTTCACGTTCGACATCACTTGTTCAATTGATTTATGTGTTTTGTTTGTGAAGAAATACCTGTACAGTATATGTAAATTGTAAAATTTTAAATAAGAGAGAAAAACAAAATAAGTAGCGTTTAAAGTGTACTGTACATTGTGGCTTGGCGCGGGGTTATGCAGTGTTTACAGTTCACGTTCGACATCACATGTTCAATTGATTTATGTGTTTTGTTTGTGAAGAATTGCAGAAATAATTTATGTAATATTTATGTATACAGTATACCTGTACAGTATATGTAAAATGTAAAGTTTTAACTAAGAGAGAAAAACAAAATACATAGCGTTTTAGACCCGCGCGCTCTGTTTACTCCACACTTTGTTTGAAACACGTGAAGTTTTTAAGCGTCCTCAGTGAATTCTGATTACTGTTTCTCCAATTTTGTGACTATGGAAAAGAAGAATATCTCTGGGAAGCACTCTGGTGATCGCATTTCCGGTGGTGATCGTAAAAGAAAGGCTATAACACTTGAAGAAAAGCTTGATGTTTCATGACTCCTCAGCCTCAACATCACCCTTATCCCCCATCAAGTTATATTCATATTTTTTCAAGGTAAAGTGTAACATTTACTGTATGATTTCATTATTAGATATGAATGTAACATTTATTTAGACTGTGCTATCCTTTGTGTTAGGCTAACTACGAAATTTTTTTTCGATTTGGAGTAATCTGCTGGACTTGAAGCAGAAGAGGGAGGAGTCGAGGAGGAACGGGGACAGGTGCACATGGGTTATACTCAGGGGGAGGGTAGTGGAAACAAGTGTGCCGACACAGGGCCAGGGGGCAGCAGTGCACCCTCCACCCACTCAACCCCCCACCCGGGAGGCGGCACCAGCTCAGCCTACCGGACAGGAGGGAACGAGCGCCGTGTAAACAATGACATTTTTAACCACACCCTGCAAAATACAGTGTACTTAGCAAATGCTGCAGCTTCTGAGAATGTGGGTGGAGCGGGTTTATTACTAAGAGCAGAGACGTTACCGAGAACAAATTCTGGCTTGAATGTCATGTACACTAATACCGACACGTTCCTTGATAAGAGGGAGGAGTTTGAAACACTACTAAGAGTACACCAACCAGATATTGTAGGAGTTGCAGAACTGTTGTACAAGAACAGGAGAATCGACCCAGAGGAATGTGAGTTCAGTATTCCTGGATATGACTCATTTACGAACCTAACTCAAGAATCCTGCAGGAGGGGTGTGGTTATCTACGCTAGGCAAGACCTTAGAGCCAGCCAGGCGAGGGTACAGGGAGAGGATGTTTTTGAAGAGTCCAAGTGGTGTAAAATTAAATTAAAGGGAGGGGACTTACTTATCGTCGGGTGTATCTACAGATCCCCGAACTGTGGCCCACTAAATCAAAGGAACTTAAGAACCTTAATAAACAATGCGGCGATGCTCAACCCCAGCCACCTCCTTATCATGGGGGACTTTAACTATGGCGACATCGACTGGAGAAACGAGTCAACCCCGAATGACTTGAATAATCCTGCTACTCTTTTTGTAGAAACTCTGAGAGATAATTTTCTGTTCCAACATGTGAGAGACCCGACACATTACAGAGGGGAGCAAACACCCAAGCCACTTGACCTCATCATAACAAACGAGGAGGGTATGGTGGCCAAACTGGAACACCTTGCCCCAGTTGGCACCAGTCACCATACAGTGTTGTCATTCAGATTTAACTGTTACCTAGTTCAAGATAAGGCCAGGCCAAGGTGCAAATATTACAAGGGAAATTACAATGGGATGAGGGAAGAGATGAGGGGTATCAACTGGCCTGACTTATTAAGGTACAAGAACGCAGACACTACGCTGAATATCATAACTAGTAAAATGACCCATTTGATCGATAAATATATACCCAAGACCAAACCCAGTGCTTCTAGGAATACGAGGGGATCCCTACACATGAACCATGCGGCGGTCGACAAAATTAAGAAGAAAACCCAGAAATTCAAGACGTGGGTTGGGTCAAACGATGAGCAAGACAGGAGGATGTATGCAAGAGCCAGAAACCAAGCAAAGATAGAGTGTAGGAGGGCTGAAAAGGAGTTCCAAAGGCTGGTTGCACGCGAGGTCAAGTCAAACCCAAAGGCATTTTACCGCTATGCAAAGTCGAAATTGAAAACGCGAGTAGGAGTATCAGACCTGAGGCTTGAAGATGGTAGTTACGCAGATTCTGACCAGGATAAAGCTGAGGCATTGAACAGCTTCTTTTCCTCAGTGTTCACAAGAGAGGATGCAACTAACCTTCCTGCGTTTGAGGACAGACGGTTCGACACAGCACTGACCCACATTGTGTTCACAGAAGAGGGTATTAGAAATAAACTGTCCAGGCTAAAGGTCCATAAGAGTCCTGGACCTGACATGGTGCATCCTAGAGTGCTAAGGGAGCTGTGCAACGAGCTTGCAGAGCCCCTGAAGATTCTGTTTTGTAAATGCCTGGATGAACAAATGGTCCCCAGTGAATGGAAAGTGGCTTATGTGAGTCCTATCTTCAAGAAGGGCGATAGGCACTCCACGAACAACTATAGACCGGTGAGCCTGACCAGCATAATATGTAAAGTACTTGAGAGTATTATCAGAGATGCAGCGATGGAACATCTACTACGAAACAACCTTGTAAAAGATTGCCAACACGGTTTTATGCCGGGGCGCTCTTGCTTGACACAATTGCTCAAGGTATTTGATATTTGGACCCATATTCTAGAACGGGGTGGTAATATCGACAATATTTACCTAGATTTTGCCAAGGCTTTCGACAGTGTACCCCACGAAAGGCTGAAAATCAAACTGGAAGGGTACGGAATTCGGGGAAATGTCCTAGCGTGGATAGAAGACTTTCTACATGACCGCAAGCAATGTGTGGTGATTAATGGCACGAAATCGTCATCTGTACCTGTAACAAGTGGGGTACCGCAGGGTAGTGTATTGGGCCCGCTGTTGTTTGTTTGTTTCATAAATGATATGCCTGACGTTGTACACTCCTCCATACAAATGTTTGCCGATGATGCCAAGTTATTTCGGGAAATTAAGAACCAAGCGGACTGTGAAGAGCTGCAGAAGGACCTCTGTGGGCTCCAGGAATGGTCGAAGGAATGGCTGCTGAGATTCAATGTCACGAAGTGTAAGAGGATGCACCTGGGGCGTACCAACGGTAAGGAGGCGTACCATATGTCCCAACGGGATGAAGAAAATGTACTAGTTGAGACTGTGTGTGAGAAGGACCTAGGTGTGTATGTTGACAATGAGCTGAAGTTCTCGGGCCATTGTGAGAAGAAGGTAAATCAGGCAAATAAATTATTGGGTCTTATAAGAAGGTCGTTCAGATATCTAGACGGTCCGTCCCTCGTGACGATCTTCAGGAGTGAAGTGCTTCCCCATCTGGAGTACTGTCACCCCATCTGGTCCCCGAGATATGCTAGGGACTGTCAGTTGGTTGAAAATGTTCAAAGGAGGGCCACCAAACTGGTGCCTGCACTTCGGCATCTCAGCTACCCTGAGAGATTGGAGCGCCTGAACTTGCCTAGCTTATACTACAGACGGGCAAGGGGGGACCTAGTTGAGGTTTATAAGCATCTCAGGGGGCACTACTCAGTTGAGTGTCCTTACTTGGAGCTGGCGGACGCTCGCCCCACAAGGGGTCACAGCTCAAGATTGAAGAAGCCGCAAGTCCGGAAAACCGTGAGGGCAAACTTTTTCGGAGTGAGGGTTGTAAACTCTTGGAACAATCTACCAGAGAGTGTTGTGACGGCACCGAGTGTGAGCTCTTTCAAGAAGAAGACTTGACCAACACTGGAGCGGGTTCAGGTACATTCAGGAGCCGGTGCATGCCCAGTATTTGCCAACAGTGCGTGACAGAGACGTGACCGATCGCCCGGGCGGCTAGCGAGCCGACCTTGTGGTGAAGAATATAAAGGAAAAGAGACGTGACCGATCGCCCAAGCGGCTAACAAGCCGATCAGTGGCGAAGAGGATAAAAGTAAAAAGTAAAAGTTCTCCATAAGCCCTGTTATTTCTATTACACGAATTTCTATAACACGATGTTTTACAAGAACACTACTATCGCGTTATAGCAGAACTACCTGTATACCAAAATCACTATCACTATCACCAAGCATTCCTAGGATGTCCACGTGAGCACTGTCATCACTAAACACACGTTCAGGAATAATGTGCTCCTGAACCTATACCAGAAGGCCTGGCCTCACTCAACTCTTGCTCCAATATCGGGCAGATATTGCACAGCATTTTACACACCCGTGGATGAACAACATCATTGTTACGCCGAAAAGTTATCAAAAATAGCCATAGAAAGTATACTGAACCTCCTTATGCTATACAATGCACCAAAACTAACAAGGAGGCAGCATCTGGGCGCGCGGATTGGCCGAGGAGCTGTGACATAGCAAGGGGAAATCCATTGTGATTGGCTACCTCAGGGGTATGGTCCGAGGGAGGCGCGCTGTCATTGGCTCGCGCTCCTCTCGCTCTGAACGGGAAGTTGCCACCTTCTTTGACTGAGCGCACAGCCAGATACGTAGCTCCAGGCCTGAGGCAAAATCACGCCTAATTTTGAAGGACTTTCTACCATATTTCTATTCTAGCTAGAGCGTTACATCCAACGGGTGAAAATAGTGATATCCATCAAAAAACGCATTTTGGCCAGAGTGTCACTTCACCCCCCTCTAATGCTGAGCGCCTCAATTCTAGTGGGTTATGAGAAACATAACATCAATTCTAGTGTGTGATGAGAAACATATTTCTAGTGGGTGATAAGAAACACTACTTCAATTCTAGTGGGTGATGAGAAACATAGTTCTAGTGGGTGATGAGAAACACTACATTAGTTCTAGTGGGTGATGAGAAATACCATCAACAAGGCAGAGTGAAGCCATGTGTCATCTTCATAGACTTCTGTGTAATTTTTATCCTAACCTAACATAACTTTAACCAAACCTAGCATAACGTAACTTAAGATAGCATAGTCTAACTTAAGATGACCTGACCTAACACAACTTAACCCAGCTCAGTAATGCAGTGTTTCTCATCATCCAACTCATGTTTTTCATCACCCAGGTCAGTAAAGTTTCTCATCACCCAGTTCTCTAATGCAATGTTTGTGTTCATGTTTTACTAGAGCTGTAAAAATACCCAAAATAACAATGCTGCACTATACAGTTCAATACTATGCTTTGTCAGGTAATGGAAGCTGTGTGTGTAATGCTGGACCTCAAGCCAGAGAGGAAGCCAGACCCTAATGGCTCAGGAAAAATGATTGAGGACTATTGGGCACCATCTCAGAAGCTGTTGGGGGATATGAAGTTCCTCCAGAACCTGCTGCACTATGACAAAGAAAACATTCCCACAAAGATTATCACTCACGTCCGCAACGAGTAAGTTCAAACATTATTTCCGTGATATGGTATTCATTAGGTAATTCATCTTTGCCATTAAGTATGACCAAGACAGAGGCTATCAGAGTGGTGTCGAGACAGACAGACCGATATGAATAAACTCATACTATTGAACAAATAAAATGCTGTAAAAAATTATCAACATTACTACTGTCTCAGTACTGTACTAACATGTAGCTACCTGATGCTTGCACTCAAGAGTGTGCATGGTTATTCAGGACGGATTACATCTTGGAAAATTTTCTTGTTATACCAGTATATTTTCCTTCACCCAATGAAAATGTAAAATAACAGTTGAAAATCTTGGTTGCTGGAACAGTGCTGTTGAATATGGACGCCTTGAGAATGACACACACAGTAATAACTGTGTAAGTCACACTACCTACTGTCACATTTAGAAATGAGTGTTCTTCCACTTTAACCCTGAAACCTATTATAAACTCACAAAAAGTAAAGGAAATAAATGTTGAGACATTTTAAAATGTACTTATCCATTAATTTACTTATTCATGCATATGTATCTTATGCTCAGGTAAATACATACTATTGTTTCACAAGAAATCACAAAAAAATAAAATCCCTCTTTTATCTTTAAAGAAGACTTGAGTGACACATAAAACTGTGTGAGTACTGAAGTGGATGACTTAGGGACTTTCTACTTCCTGCCAGGTTCTACTCTCACCCGGATTTTGACCCAAAGAAGATACGTATGGTATCAATGGCTTGTGAGGGCCTCTGCCGATGGGTGAGGGCCATGGTTGTCTATGATCAAGTCATAAAGATTGTCGCCCCCAAGAAACAAGCTTTGGAGGCTGCCAACCATGAACTGGCCCCCCAGAATGAAAGGCTAGAGGAAAAGAGGAAGGAACTCAGAGAGGTAATGTGTGAACCGAGAAAGATGTGTGAAATAAAAGACATTGCATGTAGAACCATTTCAACATATAGAATTACTGTATGGTAGACTTAGTCATCATTATATTATGAAGACTACTATTCCTTCTACAGTATATGTTCATCTACCTGCAATATGTGCATGAGTCTGCTCAGGTGTTGTGAAACAAAAGTTTTTTAGTTAACCCTTTACTTGTCATATTCCTAGATCCATGTACGTGAGTGACCATCTCTGAGCAGTCCATTACGTAGATCAATGAATTTGACTTTTTAAATTTCCCACAGCATCTGAAATGGTCCAGAAGGATTAATATATTTAAAATATGGCACATGGTAACCTCTCAAGACACATTAGCCTGTATCAGCAACCTCTGTCCCTCCAAAATGCTTTGTTTACTAACCCTACCACCACTACATCCATCCAGTCCCTCCCCAAGTTTGCTGCCCACATCACAGGCTAACAAATATGCCCAGAGACTTTCTCACGTATGCAAGAACACAGTGTTACTTGAAAAAGTGCACACAGATGCTAGGTATTGCAGCAGTGAGTGTGATCTGGTAGAATGTTCCAAGAGTTCACAACTCTCACTCCGAAAAAGTTTGCCCTCACAGTTTTCTGGACTTGCGGCTTCTTCAGTCTTGAGCTGTGACCCCTTGTTAGGCGAGCGTCTGCCAGCTCCAAGTAAGAACACTCGACTGAGTAGTACCCCTTGAGATGCTTATACTACACCTCAATTAGGTCACCCCTTACCCGTCTGTAGTACAGGTTGTACCTCTCTAGTCCGGCATTCTGTGGTCCAGAAACTCCCGTGGTCCGGAACGATTTTAGTTTGTCCAATAGGTAGATAGGCAGCTTTCTTTTTTTTTTTTCTTTTTCTTTTTTATCTGAATTATTATTATTACAGGAGTATTAAATTTTTGCCCCTCAGGCCCCAATGTGGGTCAGTGACTTATGCACAGGTGGGCTAATCTCCTTAAAAAAAAAAAAACAAAGCCACGGGAAATTAAGGTTTGTTTACATCTGGCTGCTCTCTCTCTCTGTCTGCTTGTCTATACAGAGGACAACATTTAACCCTTCAATATATATGAGCAGTAAATAAGTGTTGCTTTCATATTCTTATGTAGAGTAATGAGATATGTTTTCACATGTGCGCACTTACATGCGCGCAGTCTCACTTTTTTTTTTACCATTAATGGTTAGCTACTTATATTGTTCCATTTATTAACATTAAATAACATTACAGGTACTTCAAACAACCATATTAATTTTTTTACATTCATTTTACTACAGCTAAACTCAGGGTCTTATTTTCTTCAGTTTTATATGTAGAACCAATCAGTCACTGGTTTTGTAAGCTGTAACATAAACAATGCCGGCAGCCGTCTCGTCTCCTCTAATATTCCACGTATTATTAACAAATTGAATTGTTAATTTTGCACACACAAACATTACCGTATATCACGGCCTATAAGACGAAATTTGAACATTAAAAAAATCTGCCCAAAGTTAGGGGGTCGTCTAAACCACCAAGTTTAAAATTCTTACCTCTTAAATATTGTGGTTTAGTGTGTCAAGAGTGGTGATGAAAACATCGTAAGCCACTCACAAGGTCTTACCACTAATTATTTTATACTGAAACTTACGTTTGGCAAGCTGGATTCAAATTAAGATTACCGGTATATTAAAATAATAAAAATGTATTATAAACCTGTCTAACATACCGTAAAAGAGATTTATACCCCTGTAATAAACACAGCTATCATCACACACCCCTCCCCACGCCCCCCCCATTTGCCAGTGAGGAGACCGTGGAGATTGGGCTATTTTTAGCCGTGGAGGTGGTCAGTAATGCATACCGGTATCGGTATATTTACTCATAATAATATTTATCTCCTATAAATAATTGATTTAAATTTTATTTTTTTCAAAGAATATTCAGTAAATGAGTGCATTAATTCTTGAAACTATCGACGGTTAATTACAGACGCTCAAGTGACGTCACTAGTGTTTACACTACACCAGCTGGTAATATTTGATGCCATTACTTGAAGTGAATTGGCCTTATTTTAAGTAACTAACTATAAATAAATACAAAAATTAAAAAAAAAGATCAAAACTGAGAAATAATATACTGTATGTATGTTGTGTTGTCAAAGTAAGAGGAACAATTGTGTAAGTACGTAATATTTTTTCACTCAAATCCTAATGAAACACTACTGGAGAACATTCCTTTGTCGCAAAACAGTTTATAAATTAAAGAAAATAATTACAGTGTGTTTAATATATTACAGTATATTATAAATAAATAAATAAAACAAATAATTAGGTAAATCTATTTAAAGTAAATGGAAAATAAGCAAACATGTTATTTACCAAGACCCTTCCGTCTGGCTCAGGGTGAGATGGAGGGGAGATAAAGAAGGCTATTTATAGCCCATCAGAAGTGACCAGTACCCTAATGCACCATAAATAATTCATTGAACATTCATTTTTTGTACATAGTATATTCAGTATATATATATATATATATATATATATATATATATATATATATATATATATATATATATATATATATATATATATATATATATATATATATATACAGTGACCCCTCGTTTAACGAACACCTCGGTTAACGTAATTTCGATTAACGAACTGCCTTCCATAGGATCTTCAATTCGGTTAACGAAAAAAAATTCGCTTAACGAACTTCTTACGAACCGACCTCAACATGTTTTCGCTTGCACTGACCGGGCAACCAGCTTTAGTATCAGTCCGCCAATACATTAATCGGTTCTAGGGCTTAAATTCCTTACTATTTTTGTAAATATCAAGAAGTTTATACTATTCAATAATTTTAAAAGTTTAATATTCAATTTTTTAGTCATTTTAACAATTATTGAACAAAATTGAAGGTAAAGTGACTAGTTTAATGCGCGGCATCCAGCCTCTTAACACAGCAAACAGGCGTCAGTCTCTCTCTGTTTTCACTGGAGGTAACATCTTGCTTGAGACTCTCTTCAACTAAATGCTTTTTGTCTGTGTTTCCAAGCAAATTATTGGTCATTTTGAAATATATTTTATATATTGACAATATATAATGCAGTGCAGCGTTGATTTAAAGAAAATAATCTTGAATTAAACCAGAGAGCTAAAATTTTATGGGTGAAATGGCACCATGGGGTGACTTCTCTTCCACCCCAATGCCTTCTCTTCTTCCTTCTCCTCCACCCCCATTCTAAATCCCATCATCATCATCCATCCAGGAGCCTTCTACATACACACCTCAAAGTAAGTGAACTTTTCTACCATTTTTGTTGAATTTAGGAAATTTTCGGTGAGCTGGAACCAATTACCCAAAAACCCATTGAAACAATGGTTTCGGTTAACGAACGACCTTCTGGAACGGATTGAGTTCGTTAACCGAGTGCTTGTATATATATATATATATATATATATATATATATATATATATATATATATATATATATATATATATATACTGGTAACCTTTTTCACTCAAATCCTAATGAAACACCACAATTAGAATACGGTGGTTGCTGTTGAACCACATGTTGTATAAATAGTCACACCACCGAGACGAGGGAACACTCCCACCACGCTTCAGTGACGTCACTAGTGTTTACACTACACCAGCGAGTATAATTTGATGACATTACTTGAAGTGAATTGGCCTTATTTTAAAAAATCAAGGATGGTTGGTAAAGGACTACTGAGTCAGTGGGTAAGTGTCACATTTGGGGTACTGGTCTTATACAGCAAATAGAGCTCAAAAGCTACTTTTTAAATGGAAATTTGGGGGGGGCGTCTTATGCACCCCGCCGCCTTATAGGCCGTGATATACGGTAATTCAATAAAAGCAAATTCAGAAACATTAATTAAAATATATATGAACAGTAAATAAGTGTTGCTTTCATATTCTTATGTAAAGTAATGACGATATGTTTTCACGTGTGCGCATGCGCACCTACATACGCGATCTCTCTTTTTTCTTTACCATTATCGTTAGCTACTTCTATTGTTCCATTTATTAACATTAAATAACATTACTTAAAACAACCATATTAATTTTACTACAGGTACAACCAAAGTCTTATTTTCTTCAGTTTTATATGTAGAACCAGTCAGTCACTGGTTTTGTAATCAACGAAAACAATGCTGTGTCATTTCCTCATGTGTTTTAATATTCTACATATTATTAATGAATTGTATTGCTCAATTTGCACACGTAACATTAATTCAATAAAAAAGACATTCAGTCATGAACAATAATGAATCTTTTGTACATAAGAGGAATGACGCTGTTTACACGATTATGCACGTCGTCTGCACGTTGGCGGGCCGTTCAAACCCGTCGAAATTCAAGTTTCCGCCGTCAAAATTTTTATTTATTTATTTTTTTGTGTTCCAATAAAATACGTTAAGAATTAAAAACTCGCGAAATTTGAGAAGCTACTATACGATATTTAACCCTTCAATATGTCTTCAAAGAGACCATGATGCAGAGAAAGTGGTACTAGTGCTTCCAAGCATAAGCACAAGTCACTATCTATGCAGGAAAAGGGTGAATTTCCATGGTCCAGCACCAGTCAGATCCCGAGGTTGCCAGACTAGAGAGGTATAACCTGTATAAGCTAGGCAAGTTCAGGCGCTCCATTCTCTCATGGTAGTTGAGGACAATCAAAATTCGGTTTAGCTCAACTTGCTGTGAAAGTGGGAAAAGCTGGAGATGAGGTGGCCTGTGAGATATCATGTTTCCATTGTTACATGTAATCGAAACTATATTAGTTGTGAAAAAATCATTACAGTACTCTAGTGTGGCTTAGAAATAAAGAAAATATCATATAAAATTATGTAATAAGAAAAATGAAGAGCATGGGTTTGTATGTGTGGGCAGTGATGTCACAGCATACACACAGTGCAGCAGGCACGCACACATCTCTAAGTCAACTGAGTGAGTGCTCAGCTGGTTTGAGTGTGGAAGGAGCTGGGTTTTTTTTTACATAAAATATGTGCTTTTGTTTTATAATATGCTATTTATCAACTTTATTGTTTATCTT